GGGGGGGGGGGGGGGGGGGGGGGGGGGGGGGGGGGGGGGGGGGCGGTAATAGAAGCCTATATAAGAAAAAGACCCAAAAATCAGGACTGTCCCTATAAAATCGGGACATCTGGTCACCCTAGTGCTAACAGATTGGCCCTGTTCCCCCTCTCTTGGCTGGGAGCACCTTCAGGGGCCTGTATTGATTCATTTGCTGCAGTTTAACATGTTTTTAAACATTCGATGAAATGTCATTTGCAGTGAACAATTTGAATATAACCAATAGATATTTTTCAATAGAACTGTATGAGGGAATATAGCTAAGGAAGGCCTTTGGGCTGGGATTTATGCAGCGGGTTTCAAGCATAGTGTGTTGCATCTTTTAAGTACTCATTCTAAGGAAGTGCTGATGTAACATCAATGAATGGCAGTGTCCAAGTGACCCTAGGCCTCTTCTATGCACAGGGACACACATACATGGTGTGCATGAAATAATATAAAGGGTGGGAAGTGCTGGAGAGGGAAGGGCATGTGTGTGTATTCATGTCTTTCTGAATCTGCTCCCCGTATTATGTTGCAGATATGATCTACGTTTCTGGTGGTTTTGATGGAAGCCGGCGTCACACCAGTATGGAAAGATATGACCCAAATATTGATCAATGGAGTATGCTGGGAGACATGCAAACAGCTCGGGAAGGAGCAGGACTGGTTGTAGCTAATGGTGTTATCTACTGCCTCGGTAGGTGACCTTAGGATCCATCAGCATTCTGCAAGTATTAGTGTTCCACCCAGAATTCAGGGCAGATACCATCTATAACGGGCTCCTGGGATGTATTTAGAATACAGCCTAAAAGAGAATCCCAGTTGTTGTATACTTCGCTCTCCTGAGATATTGGGTAGCTTAGTCAGCAGACAGATTTCTCACATAGTCACTGCTGAGGAGACATTTTGATGGCTTGTACTGAAGCCATGGGAGGTGTGCTGGGCCACGTGCCAGCTGAGATATGAGGAAGTTTGGGGGATGTGTGCTGGCTGGAATGTGCAGGCTATGGGATAACTAGTTCCTGGGAGTAGCTTTGGCTATGGTGCCATTGGAACATGGAAAGGCTGGAGTGGCCTGTCCTGAGCTGCTTGTGTTCCAGCTCCTCTCTCTGGAGGCTGGAAGGCCCCAGCTGCCCATACTGAATGTTGTGAGTCCCAGATGGACAATGGTCTTAAACTCTTAAATGAACTCATTCTTTGGATGCTTCTCCAGGGCCCTTGGTCAAGGCAGCGCCATGGCTTTGTTTTCTGACCACCCTCGTCATGGTCCTATTCTAGGGGAATCTCATGTCTCACGCAGTCCGCTACGTTTTCACTTACTGCTTCATCCTAGGTTCCCCTAACCTTCCCTTGCTCCCTTCTTCTCCTTGCCCTCTGGGCTGGTAGCACAGTGTTCTTCCCCTGCTGAGGCAGTGTGACATGGCCACTCTGTGTACAATTTCCTGAAAACGTTGCAATGGCTGCCTGTGCCTTCCACCTCAGGTCATCCCCAGCCCCTGCTGTCTGTGGCCTCCAGAACTTTGATCCCTGCCTGGTGCAGGCTAGATTCTATGTTTGCTTTTGTTCAGCCTTGCGAGGCGCTGTGAGTAGTGTTGCTCACACTGCCAAGGAGTCACTAAGCCAGAGCCATCTGGGATGGAGCAGACACAGGCATTGCAATGTTCTCTTTGCAGAAACAGTGATCGAGATTGAACCCACTGTTTGTTCCCATGTTGTTTCAGGTGGCTATGATGGGCTGAACATCCTGAACTCTGTAGAGAGGTATGACCCTCACACTGGACACTGGACAAATGTCACCCCAATGGCCACCAAGCGCTCAGGTGAGAACTCTGATATGCAGGGTGCACTGCTAGATTGAATAGAGCAATGATTTCTGGCCTGCCTTCATATCCTGGAGGCCATCGTATATCTGCTGGCCTGTGGGGCTTAGCACTGTTATAGATGCACAGCAATCCTAGCAGCAGTCCTTACGCAGCCCTGGGTGACCATTGACTTAGCTCCACAGAGAGGCTTTTCTTGCTGTCTCCAGTATAGCCCTGATGCCAACGGGACAGTGTTGTTCCCAAACGACGGGTCAGGATATGCCCTGGCCAGCAGTGCTCCTCTGTCTCTATCAGGCACTCAGCACCCTAACTTCAGAATGCCTCCCACGAATTAAAAAGATCAGCAGTGCACTTTCTTCCTTTCTGGTCACCAAAAGCCAATCTTAGGGGTCTGATGGGTTTTATATTTGGTTTGCTTTTTAGTTTTTTTAAAGTGACCACAAAGGTGCTAGTGTGGGAGAACCTGAGTGAAAAGAGGGGGGTCGCATTCAGCTTTGAATACGATGAGGTTAGTTGTCATTCTGATTTCATCTTGCAGTAAGTTTCCATGGTTTTTCTCCATCTGCTATGAAGATTCTGTCTTCCATAGTCACTAACCCTCCTCAGTGGCTGACCATTTCATTGTCCAATTCAGTGTAGCCATTGGAGGGTGTCATGGTCACAGAGACACAGATACTTGGGCCAGTTCCATGCAGAGAATCAGGACAGTGACGGGGGAGGGATAGTTCAGTGGTTTGAGCATTGGCCTGCTAATCCCAGGGTTGTGAGTTCAATTCTTGAGGGGGCCACATAGGGATCTGGGGCAAAATCAGTACTCGGTCCTGCTAGTGAAGGCAGGGGGCTGGACTCAATGACCTTTCAGGGTCCCTTCCAATTCTATGAAATAGGTATATCTCCATATATTATTTTATTATTCAATGAGGAGCCAGTGCAGAAAGCAGTGTTTCATGGAGATGTGTTCCTAGTGGCCTGTGTTGTTGAGCAGCTGGGCTGCTGAGTTTATTGTGGGCACTAACTACAATAGTTGTATGGTAGTGCACACTAGAGTTCAGGATGTATTCCTGCGTCCATTCAACTTCCCTTCTCATTTTTTGAAAACAATTCATTTGGGACTGAAATCATTCATCTTCTTGGTACTTACGCTCTACGAATATGTGTAGATTATTACCATGTGATTCTGTTCTCCCTACTTAGTCAGATTAGACCGTTCTAGCTCTTCTAATCATTCCTAGTACATTGATCCCTCCAGCCCCCCAATCATGTTGCTGCTTTTCTTTGAACTCCCTCCAGTTTGTCATCATGCCCAAAAGGAGCATTATAAAATATTTTCTATAAAGTCTAGGAAACGAAATAGCCAAAACCTTTGGTCAAGTGACACATAAGCTTGTGAAGTGAAAAATTAAGAACTGATGTACCAGTAGGTACTTCTTTAACAAAATAACCCTTACAAAGCAAGAAGTTCTCAAGCTAATGTTCCATAAACAGTCTTGCCGCCAGCTTTCCTGCACAGTTCATGCATACAGACCATTAAACAGAAACCTTCTCCGTGAGGAGCCTCAAAACAACCAGAACTCTGCCTTACTAAAACAAATAAACATCATCCATTCAGTGCATAGATTCTCTCAAAATTACACCTAAACATTTTAACACATTACTTTTATTCGTGCAAAGTTTATAAAAAGCCTGTCTTTTCATTCAGCCATATACAGTCTACAAAATCAAACTAGCTATTCAAGACCATTTGCATGTCTTAGGTTTTTTAATAGCACCCTTCATAGTAGAAATCTTTCCCTACTGAGGGAAATAATTCTATATTCCCATATTTAGAAAATGATCATTAGAGACAAAGCTACTGAATACATTAAAATTAATTCTTACACCAAATCATAAAATGTATCCATTACACAGGAGCTATTCATGTCTCAGTGAATGAGCCAAATTGCTCAGACAGAACATGTGATGTCCATGTTCAGCTTCATTAAAGTGAAAGGAAAAACAATCATTGATTTCAGTGGAATTTGGATCTGACTATAAAATGTTAGGGAACACAAAGCTTGGGTCAGAGTAAAGGTTTGGGTGCTGGTCACATTTTTGTTTCCAGACTGGGTATTACGGTTGGTATCAGAATTGTTTATATAACTTTAACTTACAATTTCCACATGTTTTAACATGTTAACGTATTTACAGATGTGCTTGATGATATATCTTCCCTTGAACTGCTCTTAGCAACATTAAATGTAATTTACTGGAGTCTATTGTTAATTACTGTATTATTGGGTAACTAATATATAAAGTGAAATCTTGTACAAGAGATCACTATTTATTAGGCAGCTTTCTGTCTTGAGACCACCCCAAAATACCCTTAAATGTATCAAGCAGTTAACTCACGCAATTAACTCAAAAAAATTAATTGTGATTAAAAAAATTAATCACGATTAATCACAGGTTTAATCGCACTGTTAAACACTAGAATACCAATTGAAATGTATGAAATATTTTGGATGTTTTTTCCTACATTTTCATATAGTATTCTGTGTTGTAATTGAAATCAAAGTGTTTATTATTCTTGATTACAAATATTTGCACTGTAAAAGATAAACAAAAGAAATAGTATTTTTCAATTCACCTCATACAAGTACTGTAGTGCAATCTCTGTGTGGTGAAAGTGCAACTTACAAATGTAGATTTTTTGTTGTTGTTACATAACTGCAGTCAAAAACAAAACTGTGTAAAACTTCAGAGCCTACAAGTCCAGTCAGTCCTACTTCTTCAACCAATGGCTAAGACAAACAAGTTTATTTACATTTAAAGGAGATGATGCTGCCCTCTTCTTATTTACAATGTCAACAGAAAGTGAGAACAGGCATTTCCATGGCACTTTTGTAACAGGCATTGCAAGGTATTTACGTGCCAGATATGCTAAACATGAGTATGCCCCTTCATGCTTTGGCCACCATTCTAGAGGACATGCTTCCATGCTGATGATGCTCATTAAAAAAATAATGCGTTCATTAAATTTGTGACTCAGCTCCTTGGGGGAGAATTTTATGTCTCCAGCTCTGTTATACCCGCATTCTGCCTTATATTTCATGTTATAGCAAGCACGGATGATGACCCAGCACATGTTGTTCATTTTAAGAACACTTTCACTGCAGACTTGACAAAACGCAAAGAAAGTACCAGTGTGAGATTTCAAAAGATAGCTACATCACTCCACCCAAGGTTTAAGAATCTGAAGTGCCTTCCAAAATCTGAGAGGGATGAGGTGTGGCACATGGTTTCAGAAGTTTTAAAAGATCAACAGTCCGATGAGGAAACTACAGAACCCAAAGCACCAAAAAAGAAAATCAACCTTCTGCTGGTGGCATCTGACTCAGATAATGAAAATGAACATGCATCAGTCCACACTGCTTTGGATTGTTATCGAGCAGAACCCATCATCTGCATGGACGCATGTCCCCTGGAATGGTGTTTGAATCATGAAGGGACATATGAATCTTTAGCGCATCTGGCACGTAAATATCTTGCAATGCTGGCTACAACCGTGCCATGAGAACGCCTGTTCTCATTTTCAGGTGACATTGTAAACAAGAAGCGGGCAGCATTATCTCCTGTAAATGTAAACAAACTTGTTTGTCTGAGCGATTGGCTGTACGAGAAGTAGGACTGAGTGGACTTGCAGGCTCTAAAGCTTTACACTGTTTTATTTTTGAATGCAGTTATTTTTTGTACATAATTCTATATTTGTAAGTTCAGCTTTCATGATAGAGATTGCACTACAGTATTTGTATTAGGTGAATTGAAAAATACTATTTCTTTTGTTTTTTACAGTGCAAGTACTTGTAATCAAAAATAAATATAAAGTGAACACTGTAAACTTTGTATTCTGTGTTATAATTGAAATCAATATATTTGAAAATGTAGAAAACATTCCAAAAAATTAAATAAATGGTATTCTATTATTGTTTAACAATGCAATTAATTGTGCGATTGATTTTTTTAATCGCTTGACAGCCCTAGGATCAAGTATAATTTGCTCCACTATGGGATAGCTTGGAAGGGAATACTGGTTCTTCTTCAAGTGCTTGCTCATGTCGATTCCATTTTAGGTGTGCATGCATCCACGTGCACAGTTGTCATAGATTTCTGCTTTAGTGGTATCTGTAGGGCTGGCTCTGGTGCCTTCTGGAGTGGCCCTCCCATGCGGCAGTATATCAGGCACCGCCGGCCCTGTGCCCTCTCAGTTCCTTCTTACCACCCGTGACAGTTGATTGAGCGCCTTGTCTTGCTTCGCAAGAACAGTAGCGGTTTATCCATTGAGTTGCTTGTTGTGGTTGTACATAGTTTCATAGTTAATTAGCTAATAGTGTTAGTCAAGAGATTCACCCAGTGGGACTTTGCCCCAAGCAGAGCATGCCCCGCTTCCCCAGCTTTAAGCCATGTGCGTCATGCTGCAGGTCGATGCCGATCAGCGATCCGCACGATAGTTATCTTAAATGTCTGGAAGAGGGCCATCGCAAGGACAGGTGCCGCATCTGTAAGCACTTTCGCCCGCGGACTCAGAAAGAGTGGGATATCTGCTTGAGGGCATTATTGATGGAGGCTGCTCTTCGTCCGGCGTCAGAACACTCCACCACGGCACCTACATCCAGCACTTCGGCCTCTGCACGCAGCGCACCGCCGTGCCGACCTGAAGAAGAAGCTGAAGAAACAGAGCCCCTCAGCACTGAAGGACAGAGGAGCATCAGGCAAAGGACCTCTGTCAGGCCATGTGCCTACTACGGGGAGTCACAGGGGTACCACAGAGGTTGGACCCACCAGCCCCACCAAGGCCCCCCACCCTCACCCCGGGCAGCGGCAAGGGTTCTCAGCCTGTGATGGGGCTCGTGGTGCCAAAAGCAGTCTCAGTGGCCAAGGAGCAAGGCTGACCAACTCTGCAGGTGCCACGCCAGGTGACCGATACGGATCCACTTGTGGCACCAAAGGGGAAGGCCACC